CGGAAGAGAAAGAATTTCCCGCGGTGGGCCCGCCCCTGAGACGCAGTTCATTCACACGGTCGTGTCTCGCTAAATATAATATGGCGGTGACCCCGGTTCCCCATTGTCGATTCCCCTTCGTCCTTCGTCCTTCGTCCTTCTTTCCCATTCCTCACTCTCTTTCTCTTCGATATCCCCTGAATCCAACGCCCCTGCGATTACGCGTCGCCCTTTTGCCCTCCTTCTTTTCCGACCGTGCGCATACGGCCCTGCCGCCCTTCGAAACCTTGCGTCGCCGTCGCAGTCGCGCGCGCGCGCGTCTCGAGAGATGCATCTCCGCTCATTCCACACTTTTTAACAGCTCCAACCAAACCGGGCAACGCACCAGCTGTGTTTCTCGCGAAAAAAAGATCATATAATGATACTTATTGACAAAATTTAGTCAATTAAAGTCATTTTTACCCCGCGTAACAGGAGAGTTTACATCTTACATATCATTATCACTAATTTCAAAGTATAACATTTGTACGCGTTAACATAAATCATTAGACGCGAATGATTGCTATAATGATTATTTAAATAAAAATGGGCAAGACTAGTTGCCTCGTTACAATATGTTGAATGTACGTTGAATATAATATTTTTACAGCTTGCAAGTAATTTACCTTCTATCTAAACGGAGTTGCGAGTAATAATTTATTTTTCTTATTCTTGTTCGACTAGTCTTATGTCGGCGATCTTTGTCGCGGATCTTGAAATATTTTAAGCATCGTCCACAACGCCAATCGCAAATATCTCCACTACCGCATTCAAAATGTCATTCGCCATCGACAAACATGTATGTCTAATAACATTATTCGTTTTTTAAATATGAAAATTTAATATACGTATATGTATATATACACACACATTTATTTTATTTAAAAATGCAAATTGTCTTTAATCGTTTTTCTTATTTAAACCGCATCTTTTGCGCATCCGATGAACGTAATTTATCCATCAGTAGTTACTAAATGAAAAGATGGAAAAATTTCCTTCACTTTGTAGCAAAACATTAATTTTAAGTTAATCAAAAGTGACGAATGACGATAGAATTCCGATATACTGAGGTTTGTAATACGAGCGCGAGTCTCGTACAATCGGTCTCTTGGAAACGGTGCTTTACATCCCTTAGGCTCGGAGCAGTAGAGAACAGCAGAGGCCATTAAACTGTCTACGAATGAGGATGCAGGGGATTTTTACAACGTTTGCGAGAGAGAGCCTGCTTGCTTGCTTGCCTGCCTGCCTGCCTGCCTGCCTGCTTACCTGCTTGCCTGCCTGCCTGCCTGCCTGCCTGCCTGACTGCCTGCCTGCCTGCCTGCCTGCCTGCCTGCCTGCCTGCCTACCTACCTACCTATCTACCTACCTACCTACCTACCTACCTATCTATCTACTCTTCGCTCTTATATTCTTCTTGCTCCTCTTCTTCTTCCCCTTCTCTCTTTCTCCTTCTCCTTCTTCTGTTGCGCTTCTTGTTTCTCGTAGGACCCACAGATTTTTTCTTTTACGCCCTTCTGATCTCCACAACGGCCCAGCAACGGCGTCGCCGGACTGGAATCAAGAGTTACTGTAGAAAGAAGATCTTAACGTGATCTTTCAAGACATCCAAACATTTATTTGATCGTCCTCGTTGTAATAAATTCTTGTCAATTATTTATTAATAATCTATCTCATTCTTGAATTATCTATTGTAAAACAGGGGCTTTAGCATTTTATATTACTCATAAATACGCAATACAAATAAGATTGAGAATATTTTATTCACATCTTAAAATAAAGTTCCAAAATTACGGAGAGTGATTATGATATTTTTGGTAATAAAGAATTTTCTAATAATTTTATTTAAAAAAATAATATATCGCAAAATAGAGTAGTAGTTTTCCAACGAGATAAATCTGTTGTTAATATCGATCTGCATATCCGCAGGTAATGCCGATTTGCCGTAAAACTCCAACCATCATCGGGCGACTTGGAGCGTTTTGGAATCGGGCCTCTCTCTGGATTCTTGGATCATCCACGCGGATATATCTGGGAAACGATAACTATCGACTATACTTGATGACACTAACCCGTAGATCCGAACTTGTGGGCTTTTTTATATGCATACCGCAAGCTCCTATCTACCGGTACATGTAGTCAGGCCGGCGTTAAAACTTTTCGACGGATCCTCCTCTTTCCTTCTTCTCCAACATCATCACTATCACCATTACCACCATCGTCACCATCCTTTTATTCTCCAGAATGCTCCCAGCGCTTCCGGTTATCAGCGACAGACATTTTGACTTTGAGTAATTTTTTATCTCGCACGTGAAAAGAGTACCATCTGTCGATTATTAAAGCATGATTTTGTGTGTATGTGTGTGTGTATGTGACACATGTCTCGTTAAAATTTATATGTATATATACAAAATATATTTTGAATACGCGGACTGTTCTAAAACAAAAATCCAAATGTTGGCGATTGTACACCGAAATAACCTTGTGCGTAATATTATAAAAAAAAATGATATATCCTTAAATATCTTTTCGATATGTAAGATAAATTATACCTTTCCAAGATTTGGAGATGCGCGAAAAAGGCTCTACTGTTATGATAGGCATAAGACTTTAATTTGTTATTATATCTAGTTATAATTAATATATTCAACGACATAGTATTGACAAATGTCTATGTATTGCGTTAATTATTGCATTAGCAATGGATGCGGATCGATATGCAAATCAAATTGATTGTATAGATACAAAGAATCTCTAGTGAGAAAAATAAACAAAGGAAAATATAAAGCCAAACGACTGATCGAAAAATCTATCGAAAATTAAGAAAAGGAAGAAACGTCGATGGACGTCGAGGAAGAGGAAGCCCGCGACGATGTCTGGGTGAGGTAGTAGGTTGTATAGTAGGGAATGGAAATTCGCGAAATACGAAGTCCACTGTACAACTTGCTAACTTTCCCGGTCATCGGCGCTGCGACGCTACGCGACTCTTGAAGAATCGCAAAGTTTATCGCGGAAAGAAATAAAACTCGAAAGAAATTTTATTTTTATACAAATGTGTATAAATTGGCAAGTTCTTAAATTTAAAAAATTTAAGTTTTAAAAATTGGCAAGTATAAATTGGCGATTCAATGTTAAAATGCGTATAAGTGTCTCTTGACACGAATGCGTGCACATGTGCGTGTACGAATGTGCGTGTACGAATATGAGAGAATGAGTTAAAATACCACGCAATCTATAGTCTCTTGCGAATAAGGTTTAAACCAATATAATTCGTATAAAAAGTCCCTTCATCGGAATATGAACTTGCGCGCTCTTTCTCTCTCTCTCTCTCTCTCTCTTTCTAGAGCATTCGTGCTATATAATAGCATGAGAACAGATATACATAAGAAAAGAGATTATTTCATCATTAGCTCTTCCGTTTCTCATTCTTCAAGCGTAAATTTTGCACATGCAGTTAGATTTCGTACAGATTAATTAGAAGATATCGATAAATTTTACAAAACTAGAGAGTTAGGTTTCTTCACATATAAGAAAAAAGCTCGATTGATTTAAAATATGACAGAACATTTCTCTTTTTCAACTTATTATCGTTAAAATTTTTTCAATTAATTTTTATTTTTATTTTTATTTTTTTTTTTTTAGGATAATCTATAGCACAAACTAGCCAAGAAAGACAATCATAAATTTGCATAAAAGAGAAAAGACGGAACGATCGCAGAGCGTGAGGGTGAGATGGAGAGAATGAATGGTGATGAGCGTGAAAAAGAAAAAAAGGGCAAAAATGGCGGGCGGGCTGATTATAAAGCCTGCCGCGTCGCCGGTTCCCTGAGACCCTAACTTGTGACGTCGCGTCCGATATCTCACAGGCTAGATTCTCTGGTATTGGCGATGAGTGCTGCCTTTTGCCGATCAAAAGTCAGTCCTAACAACAGAGATACAAACGGCCATGTGTGTTACAACTTACAACTTGCCTGTCACGCCGCAGTTGCGTATTTTATCGCGTATTTTTTATTTTCCTATGTTATTATACGATTAAGGAACAAACGATTGCTTATGTTACATACTCGTTACATGATCCTTTATCGATGACTTGCAAATAAACTTACTTTTCGTATCCCGATTTCTATTAAATCGAACACACCTTTTTTAGTATCATTTATTTTAATTATATAAACTTGGAATAAAAATTTGGGTGAGCCTTTTGTTTTGTTTTTTTGCCAATGAAGTCAAGGATACTCTTTGTCACTAACAAAAGATGAAGTTAAATTTCATATTCAATTTGTGTAATGTCAGAATTGTATAAAGAATGTGATATCTGCTACGGCACAATGTGTATGTATTATATATTAGAAAAAACAATAGATTAAAATATATATATCGTGATCTTTCAAGATATATTTTATAAAATATTCACATTTCTCTTGGAGACAAGTTTAAAGATTTTGACATATATTATATCTATTTTTATATATTCATGTATATATCAAATTGTATTTAGATATATTCAAAAATATACCAATATATCAGTGAGAAATATGTCTGTGATATATTTAACAATATTTATATTATTACATGCAACCTCTTTACATAATCGATTATAATATCATACCATTGTGATGGATTTTCAAAAAATTATAGTTATTATACAAAGCTCTCGTGTAAACATATAATCAACCAACATATATACTTATATATCAAATACATTTATATGTACACAATTCTGAATACATATATATTATAAAAAAGATAATACCTAGTGTCTCTCTCTCTCTCTCTCTCTCTCTCTCTCTCTCTCTTTTTTCTTTACAAATGGGGAGAACATGAAAGATTATCAAAATATCTTTACAATTTACATGCTTACACATATACCATCACTATCTTTAATGATTACCGAAACAAGTAGACAAAATCACAATGTTCTTTAATATATATTGTTGTACTATAGTTTATAAATATATGTCTATAAGAATAGAAAAATGCTCTTCAATTTACATATTGATTTTTTTTTTTTTTTTTTTTTTTTTTTTAATTTATTTTGTCATTGCTTGTGAGATTGTGGCATTGAAAAATTACTCAATTTGTTTGGAAACGACGAGTAAAGCATCTGATAAATTCGTGAATAGTGAAGAAGTAATTCAACAATATTGAGTTGATAAAAGATAGCCACACAAGTGATTTTACATGTTTGTATCTCGGAAAAAAAACTAGTTTTATACTAAACTTGATAAATATAGAATAGTTACATGATATAATAACTTTGCATATATACATGCTCAATACTCTGCGTACAAATTATTATCTTAAATAAAGTGATAGACACATCATGGGATGTTTACGGTAAAAGCACTTTTATTAACAGCAGCTAAAAATATACGACTTCATCAGAAATACCTTCTTCCTTCCTCGACAAGTTTACTCAATTCCGCGGCTGAATAGCCCAATAACTGTTTTAAATCACAAACGAATTTATAAACAAACCGTTTGCCATGAACTTTAGAAATCATATCACCATCGTAATAATATCGAAGCGCTCTACTCAATTTTTCATAATTCATCGATGGCTTATTCTTACGTGCTCCCCATAATTGTGCCACTGCTTCTGGCTGATTAAGTTTAAATTCCCCTTCAGTTCCAATCCACTGAATCGCATCTCTATATTCTTTATCCGTTAGTAGCTCTAATAAAAATTGCCATAACTGTATTTGGCCACTATTAACGGATCGACTGGAAGTAGCAATAGTGATTGAAGTTGGATCGACACTCTCCAGTGGCATGTTAATTACACGTGTCTGTTGGTTCACCGCAGGCCTCGGTTTTACTACTTTTTGATTTCGCGCTTTAATAGACTTTTCCAAAGTGCCTTCAGTGGAAGAGTCTGGCGCATCTTTTTGCACTACAGCTGCAAAATGGCAACAATATCGTAAAATCACAAAGAGTAATCTAGATTTAGATTTATCAAAAAACAATCATTGTTGCTGGAGACCAGGCAATATTAAATATTTCCTTTTCGTAGACGTACCGACGAATTTGCATTTTCTAAGAAGTTCAAAATGCGTCCAAAACACATCTCCTGGATCAAGAGGCACTTTTGCATGAAACTCCTCCATGGTAAGGTTGCACAGCTGCGTCCCGGTTATATTCCAATCGGCCAAACGTAACGATACTAAATTGAATTGTCTAACGGCCCATTGCAGCCAATGTTTAACATGTGTTTCTGACCAATCTTTTGGATCAGTTGGTATTTTTAAGCGTTCCTTTAAAGAAACATATATGTATTTCTTCAGACTAAACATATAGAATAGTTTATTTTATGTGAATATTATTTCAAGATTAGGATTAAGTACTATATGAAAAGCTCACATTAGACAAATTTATATGAAAGATTAATCTTATTTGCAAATAATTTTATATAAAATTTATCAAGCAATCAAGCTATGCGTACATAGAATAAAACAAATCTTGTATAAACTTTTGATATATAGAAATTAAATTATACAAAATACAGTGAATATACAGAATAATACTTTTATATTTTACTTTACCTGTTCCTTTTTATACTGCGCATCCACCATCCACTTTATAACATTTCGTTTATTTTCCTGAGCTACAGGCACCGGTGCTACGTTACAACAAAAATATTAATTGCTAAACATTAAATTTTTTGATTGGAAATTTTGTCTGAAAATAGCTGCATATGTATTTGTACGCACAATTATTTTCCACAACTTCAATGTAATCTTCCGCTGGCTTGAGAACATCCGCTATATTGATACGTTTCTGCATAGGCTTTATTTGTACATTAATCTGAACTAGCCCTTCTCCTTGGACACATTGATCGACCAAATTTTTATGGCTTTCCAGCTATTATAACAGACTCGTAAAATGCAGAGGCCGAAAGAAAAAAGAAAAGAAGAAACTATAATATAGCGTATGATTTGTCGCTTACCATCTGTGCATTTTGTAACCAAAACGAATAGTTTTTCAAATCTATGGTAAGCCTCTCTTCCAAAAGGCTCCTTAATGTAGATAAAGGTTCTCTAATGTCCATGTGTTGCATTAATATTCCCTCGTTACAATATTCACCATTTACGGTGCCTTCCAATGTAAAACTGGGTTCTACTTCCAAGTCGGAACTATCTTGTTGCAGTTGTGCCATAATATCATCCTCAGAAGGCGAGAAAATTGTTTCCGGTTCCATTTTTATTTGTCTTATCATGGCATAATCGGAATCGTCATCAGTATCAAAGCTAGTACCAAATCAACGAAATGAGTATCTTAATCGAAATCTTAATCATACATATAAGTTAGATTAGGTTATAAATTTAAAAGAAAAAGAAAGAAAGAAAGAAAGAAAGAAAGATAAATTCACTAACCTTTTATCAGAACTTTTTCGACAATTTTCTAGATCCATGTTGAGTAAACACGTGGGCAATTTTTACAATTTAATTTATTGTAAACTTGTGCAACACTTTTAACAAGCTATTCGTTTATGTTAGTAATGATCAGAGAGTAGAGTACTCGTGTCGCACACACACACACTCACACACATATATATATATATACATTCGCTTTATACACAATACACACTCGTGGACGGAAAGATCATGGGGTTTAAAAAAAACAAAGAAAAGAAAAAAAGATCCATTCTTTTCATAACTGCTAGCGTTGTGTGTAATTCACACTACATTCGCCGTACGATATTCTGATATCCAATATCCAATAGAAAATGTGGATTTCAACTAACAATTTTTTCGTCTCTAAAAAATAAACTCTCCTATTGGATATCCGGACATTGTACATCGAACCATCGAATGCAATGTGAATTCTTCACTACCGACCAACGACCAACCATCAACCATCTTGGCATAATCGTTGTGTTGCGCTGGTTGCGCTGGTTGCGCTTTGCGTTGTGTGTGGCGCTGGATAAAATAAACGAGAACGGGAAATATATAATCGAACGGACTTGCATACACAAATACACATTTACAATGTCTATATGTAACAAGTACAATCGGAGCTTTCTCATTTTTATTGGCGAAAGGCAACGGAAATAAGCGTCAAACTGTCAAACACACTGCTGGCGATATACACGGGTGGTGAAATCTCAATCATCAAAGGTATATATTCCAGTATATTCCTTCCATTAACGACACACTTATCGCTCTCGGTTAAATCGCTAAACAATCATAGCACTTGCGATAATTGGAGCGGCAGGTTGACACATTTTCATATACTTTGAAAATCGAGAAGCTGTAGTATACATTACACACATTTTATTTGGATATATTTGTGATTACTCTTGCTAAATTGAACCTTTTCTCGTTCGACAGCTTCCGTTTGTAAAGAGGATGGACAATTTCGAAGGAGAAAGCAGAAGGGAGACTAGTAGGGATGATGGAAGGCAAGGTGTTGGACGCGGACATCGTGTCTGGGATGGACTCCCGCAAAACAATACGGCACTTAGGCGACCACATTGCGCGTCAACTGGTAATCAGCCCAGTGCAGGTCAGTTTCGATTGCGACAATTACAGGCTCGTTATATATTATCAACTTGGAAATAATTATTCGTGTAGAACCCATCTCACCGATAACTGCGGAGCATAATCTCAAAGAAAAAAAATTCCGGCTTGTCCCATTGTCACCGCAAGCGGCTGAGTTTGTCCCAAGATCCTACAAGTTACCACAAACTTCTTTATCGCAGCCTCCAGTATCAGAATCAAACGCATTCCCTACTCGTGTAAGCAACTCAACATACTCCGACTAATCTCTAAAGACATCAATATTCAACTATGCCCTCATAATTCTTAATAACTTGCCAATAGCAACTTATCCATCAACATACAAAGAGTTCTATACAAGATAGGCTCAGACGCGCTCGTGAAACACCACCGAATGTATGCGTACCTTCGTCGTATCTAAGAAAGTCTGATGATCTAATGGATGACAATGCCCTTGAAGAAGCTTTGCAACTACAGTGCAACATAGAAGATTCAGACATGGGAAATTACGATAAATATACAGATGATCAATGCACGTTGAATGAGAATAAGGTAAAAATCTAATCTAACTTAATATTTTTTAGAAATCTTTAGAATATTTTCATATACCGATAATATTTTGATCAGAAAAAGGAAGAGGAACAAAATAAAGAGGAAGAAGCTTACAATTTTCAAATTTGTCAACGTCTGAATGATATTATCAATATTTTAATTGTAAATCCTGCAGAGTTCACCAACTTAATTCCACCATTTGTCAACAAACTTAGGTGGGACCGCATGCGATGCCTACAAGCGATTGTAACGACTATAATTGAATCGGTAACACAAGTTTCTCCTTCATCTACAAATATGTATTTATAGGTCAATGTAATTTTCCACAAAACTCACCTTAGTCATTCTTGATATTTATTTTATTCTACATAGTGTTTGTATGCGTCGCTTACTTTATTTATATTTTCAGTCTATAGCTGAAAGCAATTTTCGATATAGTGGAGCCCGATTCTGTAAATATCTCGATAATACTTTAGAAGACTGCAAAGAACTATTTATGTTCTCCAAAGAACTATTCAGGGATTTATTATATTTCCAGTAAGTTTAAATGTCTGTGAAATTTATTTTTGAAATTGTAATTATTTTTTTATATATATATATATCAATGATGCATTATGTTATGGATGTTAGATGTAGATTGGAGACTCGATTCGAAGAAGCCGAGTGGCAAAAGCAAAGCGAAGAAGAACGCGATCAAAAAAAGTGCAATGGATTGATATTGTTTTTAGCAGAGTTGGTTGCCCAAATGGATGAATCTTACGCTTTTACTTTAGGAGAACTCTTGGTATGGTTTATTACTAAGGTACTGCAGAGACCAGCATCAAATTCTGTCAAGTACATATGCCAAGCGCTTAAAGTAAGTTGAAGTGTAACGGTGATGATAATTTTATATAATTCTCACCTATTATTTTTGATACATGCGTGTATATATATTTGATGTAATGCATATGTAGTTGGCAGGTCAAAAATTGGAAAAGGATAAGAGTATGAGTAAAGATATGGAAAATATGATGCGGGCGCTGACAGAACTGGTAAATAATGGGCAAGTTGATACACATGTGGGAAATATGGTAAACAGCGTTCACGAATTACGAAAGGATTGGGGAAGAAGAGTATCTAATTGTGATTTATCTGGGACAAGCAACGCATTGTCAAATAAAGTACATCAGCAATCGGACCAACTAGGTGCATCTAATTATAATTCATCTGGAACTAATACTGCACCATTAAGAGAAATACAGCTGGATCAACCAGTAATGTATGGTCCTGATGGCGAAATTCTATCTGCAGAGGAAAGTAAATTTCTCCAAGACAACGTCAAATTGGATTTCGATCAGCAGTATGTATATTGTACTTTATATCTGTAATATAAATATATGATGTGGCAGTATTTTTAATTCAGCAATATATTCCAATATAAAGACACTTGTTTAGAAAGATATGTATACTAATATTATCGTGCAATGGTACAGGCCATCTGACGAAGAATACGAGGATGATAATTATGATGACGAAATTGCGACCGCTTACGAAGAGTTTTTGAAAGATAAATCGAAATAAAGTGCAAGATAAAATTGATGTAATCTCGGAGATTATATTATGACTTGGATATTTCGCTATAGATATATAAATACTTGTTTAAAAATATTGCGATTAAAAGAGAGAAATTGGATTCTACTACAATGTGAACATTAAAAAAGCCAAATACAAAAATATCTGCATTTTAAAGGTAGGAGCAGAGCATTGCATATACACAATCATACAAAACACACCGATCCATACGAAAGATATGCGCTAAACGCGGAATAATTTTCAATTCACATTTAACACGTTTCATCATGTGTACAGATATGATAGTAATGTTCGCATAGTGACATACATATTTGCATATATGTAGCATACAGAGTATAATAAAATAAAACATCCGAATAAATCCAATAGATTTGAAGATGCAAAAATATGTAATTTGTATAATACCAAAAAGTAAATATGATGTATAAAGAAATCTTTTTTCTCAACATCACTATTTTCAGAGTTTCTAGACATATTTTTACCTCTTTGGTTGATACTTTAAAAAGTATATAATTATTAAATATTCATTTACAATGATAAAAACGCTTAAAATCATCCAAGTTGTAGTTTACACATTTTTGGTATCTTCAAATTTAAATGAGTTATATTCAAAGAGATATTCCATTTTTTTTTCTGATGATTCAATCCGTATATATGTTTTGTATAGTAAACATGTATTTTGCACATTTATTTAAAGTTGTGTGTGTGTGTGTGTGTGTGTGTGTTTGGTGAGTGTGCGGATAGGTAGGTGTGTGTGTTGTGTGCGCGTGTGGTTATGTATGAAAGTTCTTAAATATATATAACACAAGTTTTTATACTTGTTATATATATATATATATTTTGCAAATGTGTATATGGGTGACAAATGAATAGCGCTATTTTCTTGATCCAGTCTTTAATTTTGATCATAGAAAATATATTTTTAATTCTAATACATTATAAAGTAGCATTTGTATCTTTTTGTCCACGATCCACAAAATAATTCATATAATTTTCGGAATAAATTAAAGTTCATTGAATCGACATTTCACATTGATAAGCGAATGATTTTCGACAAAAGTTTATAAATATACGAATAATTATATGTTTTTCGAAATTGCAGTATCGAATCGTGCGTTTTATTCGTAGAAACGATAATAAACCAGAAAATACGATCACCATAGATAGTTCTCATTATCATAATATATTTTATTCACACGATTTTTATTTACATATATAACACATGTTTTTACTTTTTATTTTATCGATATTTTTATTTTAGATTAGCATGTTACGTAAGTTTTTTAAAAAGTTTGATGCGGAAAGATGCTATACGCGATATAAAACCGATATGCGATAATTTATAATTGAATAACAAGTACATACCAGATCCACTTCAATTGCGTTGCAGCTGGACCGAACATATATAATCTCCATGGAAATCCATTTTTGGCGCGAAAGGAGTTCTCTCATCACGAAACTCTGCGCATGAAGCTGCAACGTGATTACTCATACCTGTTTTGACGTATTGTATTGCACGCGTATATGGAATAGCATTGTAATTCGCCAAGTAATTGTAAAAGTTGATGATCTCTGACCGTGCTATCTTTCCATTCATCTTTAGAAAATTTGAAGATTTATAAAGATTTTAATATACCCACGCACACATAATACCGCGTAATAAAAAGTGAAAAATTAGAATCGGACACGTTATTAAAAAAACGCGTAGGCGAAATTTATCGAATACCTTAAAAAACAATCAGGGCCGTGTGTGGGCGAAATTTAAAGTGGGGTTGAAGGTCGCACGCACATCCTGGATGGTGGGGTCTATCGCACCTTCATCATCTCTGCGATCGCGGGTGATTCGTTAGTCTTCCCTTCGCATTTCCACCGAGCATAAAGTTGTAAGTAAAGATGGGCATATTTCACTCGGATAAATTTTTATCTAGTTATCTGGATAAAATTTTGTCTGCTATTCATTATTATTTTTTGTGTCATACAAAAATACGATAATTGATATGAAAAATATTTCCAAAGTATATTATTTCCTTTATCTATTTTTTTTTTTCCATGGAGATATCTTCTTCGACAATGAATTCCGAATATTTCAATTTTAATAGATTGTATAATCTTGGAACACGCAGAGTTGTTAATTTGAAGAGAATTATTAGATATTGCTAAAGATATTATGTGTATCGTTTAATGTTCACAGTTTGTATTTAACAAATTTAAAGATTCGAATAAGAATGTGTTTGTCACAATTACGAATAAAACGAATTATGCCTCGTCTTTTTTTTTTCACATACAACATACATGTATATTATTTGAATAATTAAAATAATCTTTTATGCCTTTTTTTTTCTAGTTACAAGAAAGTAAACTCTATTGTACTTGAAACATTTTTTATGACGAAAAATAATTTTAAGAATTAACACACGTAACACGATTTGTATGCATCTTTTGTAATTCGGAAAAGATTTGTCGTGTGAATTTTGTTTCGCCCTTTTATATACCGCCATAAATTATTATTACTATATTATATGCGCACAGATAGAATAGTGGCAAAATGCATCACTCGCGAGCCGTAGCCTTGCTCGTGCTTCTATTTGCCGTGATGATCAACGGCAGTCAATATATTCAATCACGAATAGTTGCATCTGGTAAGTTACATTTAAATTACGCAAGGCGTTTAATGATCATTATAATACTGAATCATTCTATCTATAGGCGGTTGCGACAGCTACACGTGTGGAGTCAATGCGAGATGTACAATGAGTGAAGGACGGCCGGTATGCTCGTGCTTCAATCTACATATGGGAGACCCGCTTGCGCGATGCGTCCGGGTCGAATGTTTGAGTGAGTAAATCTCTCTACTAAAATTATATTATATACTCTTTTTTTATATAGAAAGAGAAGAGAATAATATGCCTTGTGTTTTAATTAAATCTAAATTTATATCAATCGATACGGTATTGATTAGTACGTTTATCAACGTTTTAGTCAACGACGATTGCCCATACAATAGAGTATGCACAAACAACAGGTGTGTCGATCCCTGCGTAGGATTATGTGGAGTAAATGCGAATTGCGCGACCAGAAATCACATAGGTACCTGCCAGTGCCTACCAGGACACAACGGTGATCCGTTTTCGGGTTGTCAAGTTGCCGATCCCCGTATGTATAAAACTTTAAATTTAAACAACAAAAATGTCTAAAAAAATACGTGGTAAATATTACAACTTAAAGCAATTTCTTGAAACTGTTTATAATCTTTCTACATTATCGTTTAAATATTTCCTCCCTTTTTTATCTGTACAAATATAAATTATAATTTAAAACACACACATACATACATTCTTTCTCTATTTAAATCATTGATAAAAAAGTTTTGCAAGTTGTGTCATCAAAGAAATATTTGATGCGATATAGAAGCCGCTTGCAAACCGAGTCCGTGCGGAGAGAATACACAGTGCGAGGTGATCAACGAAGTGCCAGTCTGCACGTGTCTACCGGGTTACAGGGGTTCGCCTTTGGCTGGATGTCGTCACGAGTGCGAAAGCGACAGCGAGTGCTCTCAACATCTCGCGTGTTCGTCATCCTTCAGGTGTGAGAGCCCCTGCAAATGCGGAGAGAACGCGGAATGCCAAGTTATAAACCACCAAGCAAAATGTACTTGCCCGAAAGTAAGACATTCCCATTTTTATCCTTGGGCGAAAAAAGAGATATAAAAATCTGACTAAGCGACCCGATGACTAAACAAAATTCCGTGTGTGATCAATCTGTTATTTTTTGTTTCAGACATGGGTGGGAAATCCATACGTCGCTTGTCGACCGGAGTGCACCGCCCACTCAGAGTGTTCGGCGGCCAAACCCGCCTGTCTGTATCAAAAATGCGTGAATCCGTGCGACGGCGTTTGCGGAGTGAACGCCGATTGCAATCTACGCGGTATTACACCCGTTTGTAGCTGCCCGAGGCACATGACTGGCAATCCTTTCGTTAGCTGCAGATTATTCGAACCGCGTAAGCGATCAATGTGTAGCGATTTTCAAGTGCCATATTCTTCTCATCTCCTGTCTTGATTATTAATTGGCAGAGCCGACAAGAAAAGGAAAAAGAAACTATTCCTCGAGAAAATGTGTCTCTATGTTTTTAGGTGACCTCTGCGAGCCGAATCCTTGTGGTACGAATGCCATTTGCACGCCGGGCCATGATAACACCGGAAAGGAGAGGCCGGTGTGCACGTGTCCCACCGGTTACATCGGCAATGCCCTGACGAGCTGTCAGCGTGGGGAATGCTTCACTGACAGTGATTGCCCCGATAATCGCGCGTGTATCGACTTCACGTGCGGAAATCCGTGTACTGGTCGCGAGTGCGGTCCGAACGCCACATGTACGCCCCGACATCATATCGCAGTTTGCACGTGTCCGCAGGGGACTAGAGGTGACGCTCTATATACCTGTAATCCGATCGAGAGTAAATCGGTGTACGATTACGGCCGCGCCTATCGTTACCGTTACTACTAGTCACAAAACAGTACCACCAATTTCATTTTAAAAATATTCGACTCTCTTTCTCTCTTTATTAATTTACTCTAATTTATATTTGCACGCATGTTTTTTGCGAAAAACATGGAAAAGTGATCGCGTCTCTATTCGCAAGTCGTAATAAACGGTGGTAACAGAGCAATCTATTTTTATAACATACTACGCTATTTTTTCTATTTGTGTTCATCATAGATCTCTCATATAAAGTGTTCTATATATATTTTTCTTTTTCTACAACTGTAGCTGGTCGCAAACTTAGTTTAAATTTTTAATATAAAAGTAAATGCACCGCATACCGCGCGCGCGATTTATATTATATAATCTCAATATCTTACTCAGTATATCAAAATAAATTTTTTTCTATTTGCCCTTATTCTTCTGTTCTTGTATTTTTACGTCAATAGATATAATATTGTATATCGTATGTATCTATATAGTACACGCAAACTTTTATAATCACGTAATACGAAAAGTATTTGTGCAATGCTATAATATCCTTGTAAAAAAAGATCCAAATTAGATTACATTTCTAAACAATAATTTTTATTTTAGAGATTTTAACTTTATGTACACATTTAATAAATATGGAATCCACAAGCTAATGGTTATAAAATTAGCGGAGAAATTTAGGGCAAATGGCTTGCCAGTATATACAATTTAAAAAAATAAATAATTATGATCTCGTGTATTACATGATACATCACATGTATGCTATGAAAGAATCCTGCTATATATGTATTAGTACAATTATTGGCAGCATCATTATACGGCGAAATTTATCAATTTTGAAACAAAGACATTGTCGTCCGCTTCAGTATTCCAGATTTTGTTTATAAACTCCTCACTTTTTCCTCACAAATATAGACATTGATCCTATTGTTACTTTTCGCGCGTTCTAAACGATTGTCTATATACAATATTAATAGATATTAATTTATTAGTAGTGTCAAATCTCACATTTATTTCACATCTACATTCACGCGACTAATATATAGCTGTATTATAAAAATTATAGTACATGAAAAAACAATATATCTCAATTTTGTTGAGAAAAAAAAATATGTATATAAATATTAATAGTATTAGTAGTGTCAAATCTCACATTTATTTCACATCTACATTCACGCGACTAATATATAGCTGTATTATAAAAATTATAGAAATTATAGT